AGAGAGGATAAGGAAATCACTACTGAAGAAGAATAAAGCAGGAAGCCTCTCACTCCTTGACCTGAAAATCTACTACATAGCCATAATCCTCAAAACAGCCTGGTCCTTGTACCACAGCAGTTACATAGACCAATGGAATAGAGAACCCAGACATAAATGCATGTACCTACGGACAACTGATTTTTTACAATAGGATGAAACTCATTAAATGAGGAAGAAAGAGCCCTTTCCACAAATAATCCTGGAAAAATTAGATATACATTTGCAGAAAAATGAAACAAGACCCATACCTCCCTCCATAAAACTCCACAAAGCCAAACTCTAGGGGCCAGGTGTGCAGTCCCGGTCCCCGTTATGTATGGAGGCAGAGGGAGAGGACTCCGGTCCCCTCGGCGTCATGTCTTTGGTGCCAGCTACCCGTCGGCTGGCTCTATCCTCAAATGCTGGGACAAGGAAAAATTTTAAAGAAAGAAAGAAAAACAAACTCTAGATGAATCAAAAAATATGTGAACCCTAGGATTATAAAGATAATCTGTGAAAAATTAGGGATACATTGAAGTGCTCTAATACACAGCATAAACACACTATCAAACATATGTACGAATGCACAAAATATAACACAAAATAGAGGACTGGTGCCTTCTAAAAATAAGTGACTTACGTAAAACTGAATCCACAGAAGGGGGAACTTTTTGGCAATGAAATTTGGAAGGAGACTAATCTCTAAAATCTAAGAAAACTGTAAGCCTCAATAAGAAAAAGATGAATAATCCAATTAAAAATGAGCTGAGGAGATGACTATACAATTGCCGAAATGCCATCTAGGAGGTCAACACATATATAAAGAATTGTTCTTGCTCACTAGCCATCCGAGACATGCAAATCAAAATGAGATACCATCTCATGCTGGCAAAGTTTTTAAAAAGCAAAAATAACAAATAGTGGAGAGGGTATGGAGCGATTGGAACCCTCATACACTGCTAATGGGACTGTAAGACTATACCACTAATGTGGAAAGCATTATGACACTTCTTCAAATAACTAAGAGTAGGAATAACATATGACCCAGAAACCCCTTTATTCAGTATGTACTCTAAAGAAGCAAGAGTTGTAGCACCAATAGATATATGCACACACATATTCATGGAAGCACTAGTCACAATAGCAAGAGGATGGAAACAGCCTAAATTTCCATCAGTAGAAGAATGTATAAATAAGCTTTGGTACATACACGTAATGGAATACTATGTATCACTAAATAATCAAGATGAAAGTGGAAACACATCTTGACATGGATGAGGTTTGAGGATATTATGCTGAATGAAGTTGGTCAGTCACAAAAGGTATGACACCATTGTTGTAAAACAAAAACCCCAAGTTAAAAAAGTTATTAATACTAGAAGAAAGAGATGTTGATGGTTACCAAGGGTGGGAGGGGAAGAGGTGGAAGGGGACCCAAGAGACCAGAGAGTAGACACTTGTTGTTGTCAGGTGCATTGCATTGCTTTCCACTCATACTGACTGTCTGTACAACAGAGTGATAGATGGCCCAGACCCAGAGAAACTCCGTAATTGTTGTGATATTTGAGCTTATTGTTTCAGGCACCATGTCAATGCATCGTACTGCAAATGTTCCTCTTTTTGGCTGCCTGTAATTTACCAAGCATGATGTCTTTTTCCAGTGATTGGTTACTCCTGATAACATGTCCAAAGTAGGTAAGACAAAGTCTCGCCATCCTTGCTTCTAAGGAGTATTCTGATTGTGCTTCTTCCATGAGAGATTTGTTTGTTCTTTTGGCAGTCCATGTTACTTTCAATATTATTTGCCAGCACTACAATTCATACATATCAATTTTTTGTTGATCTTCCTTGTTCAATGTCCAACTCTCACATGCAATTTTTAGTGTCCAACTTTCTCATGGTGATTGAATCAAGCACATTTAAGTCCTCAAAGTAACATTCTTGCTTCTCAACACTTAAAGAGGTCTTGTGCAGCAGATTTACCCAATGCAATGCATTGTTTGATCTCTTGACTGCAGCTTCCATGAACATTAATTGTAGATCCA